GGCTCGGCTCCGGATCATCGCTCTGCTTCAGAGTTAAAATGCAGGCGGGCGAGCAGAGACTCTCTCTGTTGCCCTGAAGCACAGCTCGACAGGCAAACCCTCAAATCAGTCCTCAGCAATTCTCTTGGGGAGGCAGCAAACACCTTTTTGTCATGAGAGAACCCCGATCACCAGCTACGGCACCAGAAGCGGCCGCTCTTGAGCTCAAACTTTGTATTTTTGGAGAAAAAACTCAAAAAGACATTCCTCAAAGCCCCCACTCCAGCAGACATGGGCACCATGCCTTAGACTGAACACTATGCTGGGCACCAAATGGAGCACATCCCCAAAAGACTACCTCCCTGTCCCCCCGATGCGCACCCAGGGCCAGCCCTACCTTCAGATCCCAGATCTTGATCTGAGAATCCATCGTCCCTGTTCCAAAAATGAGCCCGTCGGGGTGGAACTGGGCACAGGTGAGAGCTACAGAGACAACATGGGAGATTCAGAAGGTCAGGGAGACTTTCTGACTTTGTTAACAGCCCCCTCCCCGGGTTCTTCTGAGCTCCAGGAGCCCCCAGGAAGAAAAATACCCTCTCTCCAGGCTCCTAACAGCCCCCAGGGTGGGGACACTCAGCCACAAGCCTTACCGCAGCCAGAGCTCTCATCCGTCACCTTGGTGAGGACACGGCCCGTCTGGATATCCGAGAAAGCCCAGTACTGGGAGAGAGGAAGAGTGCGCTGAGTACAGAGGGATGAGAAGCGGTGTGGGGGGGGGTCTGTGGCCCGGGGAGGGATCTCACCTGGTAAAAAAGGTAGTCGCCCGTGGCGTGGAGGCTCAGCCCCGTCACAGAGCCCTCGTGGGCACGGACGACCTGCACGCACGAGGCATTGGGCACAGACCAGATGCGGATAGTCGCGTCGGGAGAAGCGGAGAAAACCAAATCCTGAACGGGGAACAAGCAGGGAAGTTAACATCAGAAGAAATTCACCTCTGCATCCGAGAGATCTCCCCATGGGCAAAAACCAGTCTGCGGGAGGAAGAGACCCCAACAGAAAAGAAAACCAGCAAAGGGGCGAGAAAACGGATCTGGGGCAGCCCAGCTGGGAGGGAAGAGGCTGAGCGCGGGGCTGAACGCACCTGGGACGGGTGGAAGACGACGCTGGTAACCTTCTTGGTGTGGCCCTTGAGTGTCGCCAGGATCTGCTCCGAGCTCTTGTCGAACACGATAACGTTTTTATCAGCCCCACCTAGAAAAAAAAAAGTCAGAAAGCGGTGAGAGACAGGAGTCTGCAGCCAACCACGTCCGATTCCTCCCACCTTTCCTGGGAACCACTGTCCTGAGCAGCTTTGCCATGAGGTGAAAGAATCCCTCGTGCCCCTTGCCCCACCTCTATCCCCCCAAAGCCCAGAGAAGGGACCCGCTCCCAGGCAGGCGCAGGCTCTCAGCTGCCACCACGTCGTCCCCAGCTCCCTTACCCGTGAGGATCTTGTTGGTGTCAGAAGGACAGAGGTCCAAGGCCAGGATCCCGGGGATGCTGGCGCTGTGCAGCCCCTGCGCAAGGGAGGAGGAACCAGATTAACGCCACGAGCAAGAAAACACACCCAAAGGGAACCAAGAAGCCCTTGAGGGAGTGCAGGGTGTTTAATTCCAACAGCGGGAGCCTGTGTGACGTCCCCCTGGCTGTGTCACAGGGTCACAGCCCTCCTCTCGCTCCGCCCATAGGCAGATTTGTTGCTTATTGATGCTGCGAAGCGGCACAGGAGAGACCCCGGATCCCCAGAGGCAGGAGGGAGCTTTGGAGCCCCTGCCCGCATCACGGCACTCAC